GTTGATGAGGTCCATGATTCTGGGTATTTTGATCTGGGTGTATTTGGTTAGGTCGGGTGTGCTGTGTAGTACTACTAATATGGATTCTTTCACTAGTTCCCAGTTTATGGATGTAAAGAGTGCTGTGACATCACATGAGATCATAATTTCATCTTCATCTATGTGTACATCTTTGATTTTCTGTAGGCACTGTAGTGAGGAGTTAGAGAACCCCAAGGACACATGAGATCATAATTTCATCTTCATCTATGTGTACATCTTTGATTTTCTGTAGGCACTGTAGTGAGGAGTTAGAGAACCCCAAGGACACCACAAACACCATACAATAATTTACCAATAATCATTATTATTTCTATTTTAAAATAATAATAATAATAATAATAATAATAATAATAATAATAATATTGTACAAAATGCTTACCAGTTTACTTTCATTTCTCTTGTTTTTATTTTTCCTTCCATTGGATATCTGTACATGAACATACAAGGTTTTATTTACTTGTGCTAAATATAGGGCATTAGTTTAGAACATAAAATGGGATGTATTTCCCATTAACAAAAAGATGTACCAGAATCATACATATAAATAAGTCCCACTGAATTCAATAAGACTTATTTAGCAGTAAATTGCTATACAGTTACAGCTTCAGAGCAGAGTTATGGAACTTGTGGTCCTCCAGATGCTCTTGAAATATGCTCTTCAGTATTGACCATGTGAGCTTGAGATGGGGTTTGCCAATCTCTGGGAAGATAAACATTCTCCATACTTTACAGCTTCAAATGTGCACATTTTAACACTGCAAGTTCTAATGGGTAGAAATCACATGCAGTTTTGAGGAATTCCAAGAGGAATCATAGCAAGATATGGAATAGAAGGGAAGAGAAAAGGTGAGGAATGCTGTGCCTGAAAGCCAAATGGGCTATGGGAGCTTCCAGGACTGCCACCAGCCCATCAGAGAGCTGAAGCTACAGAGCTAGAGTTGCTGTCATTTTGTCTAAGCCATCAAGTGGATAAAGAGGGAAATGGACCAAATGAGAGCGGCACTGGCCCATTTTCCCTAGTTTGAATTACTGTAAATATATATTGTTGAACACTTGCAAATACAGTGGTACCTCGGGATACGAACTTAATGCGTTCCGTGACTCTGGGCGTATCCCGAGTTGGTCGTAACCCGAC